CTGCTGCTACCGCTACCGCTGCTGCTGCTGCAGGCTGTTTCAGGCAGGCCAGGGGTGCTGCAAGGTGTGCGATACATGGTGTGTCAAGCTTACTGCCCGCCAGCGACTAGCATTCCTGGGTCCACTAACCCACGATGGAAATGGTGTCACTGCACGTTCAATGGATGTGCACACACATTCATTCAGGTGTGCGTGCACGCACATGTACTGTATTCAGGTGTTGCTCGCTGCGGCGTGGAGCCGGCCTGGGATGTGTCATGTTGCCCTGGATGTCCGGTCCAGTTGCGGGGGGGTGGGGGGGGGCAAGGCCGCAGGCTGGTGCAGCCACTCAAGCGTACGACAAAGCAAAGCGGCAGCTGCAGTGAGCGGGCGACGCCCAGCCACGGGTTTCCCGCCCACGCCCTGCACCAGACTCCAAGCGGGTACGACTGTGCGCCGCGCCCAAAGGCACGCACCCACGCAGGCTTGCGCGTACAGAAAGCTCATAAACAAGTGGTGCTTGACGAACGACTCGGCTTGCGCGCCGGAAGGGGCAGGTATATGCAGGGTACAGCGTGTGTGCGCGCGTGTGTGTGTGCGTATGTGTCATACACGAACGATGGGAGCAGGTGAAGACACATGCTGAGCCGTGCCATCAAGGCCGGGCTAGGCCGTCGCATCGCTTGCAATCTGACCCGCGCTGCGACGCCACCAAGGAGTGGGTGCGGACTGGCCTCGCATGGTTCACCGAGTGGATGTGGCGGCACGGTGCTGCTGGAAGAAGCGAAACACGTACTCACAGTAGCCCCTGCACATGTCCTCAAACAGCACCTTGCGGAACCCCACGCGATCCGGCGCCATCCTCCCGAACAGCGGCGAAACGAGGGTCGTGAGCGCTACAGCGTACAGGGCCATGTGCCACCGGCGCACGCGCTCCCAGGCCACCTTCAAACTGGGCCGCAGGTCGACGACCTGGTAGGGCCAGCGGGGCCTGATGTCGACGCACGTGCCCGCGTGCTGGAACACGACATGCACCAGCCCAGGGCAGCTCCTGGCGAGCGCGATCACCTCAGCCACGGACAGCTTGACTCTATCGCCGAGGCCCCCCTTGCCGCGCCGCGCCAGCCACCGCGCCAGCGCGCCGGCCGCGACCATCGACGGCCGGAAGAACACCCACATCGCCAGCGCGCCCCGCGCGGCGTCTCCAAACTCGCCGTCCGCCGCGGCGATCGCTCGGGCGGCCGCCGGTTTTGGCGGCGGGCCGCCTGTAATGGCGAACGCGACGTTCTTGCCCTCAGTCCATGCCATGTGGATGCCAGTGCCGCAAGCTGCGGGGGCAGTGGACATAAGGGCCAGGGTCTTGTCTGCCGCGGACGTGATTGTGGCGACCGCCTCGTTCTGCGCGTTGGGGCGGGACCAAGGATAAGGTACGATAGGACAGGTTTGTGATAGCGTTCCGCGGTCGCACGGCGTCCAGCTTCTTCCCAAGACATCAAGATGGTCCGGAACACGCTGGTCAGCGAAGGTGTTGGCAGCCCGCCGAAAAGCAGCCCGCCGACGGCAGAGCACGGCCAACGAAGCAAGCTGCTTGCGGGGGACGATCCAATGGTACCTCATTTCAAGACAGGCCTTCGCCCTGAGTCCACCCCGTCAGCGCTGGCGTCCCGGCAGTTGCCCCTGCTGCGCGAAACCCCCAGCCAGTCACCCACCTCTGCAGCAAAGGGCGCCTGCAGGCCCAGCACGAACAGCGTGAACATCAGCCCCAGGGGCCACGACTGGCTCCTCGCCCTCTTGCCGGCAGGTGCGCCGCCGAGGGGCAAGCTGCCGCGTTTGCTCGCGCGGCCCTTGGTCGCGCCCGGCGCGGCTGGCTCCTGCACAGCAAACGTTTGTTTTCGGGGGGCGTGTGGGGATGCCGACCTGAGGGTCGTTGAGGCAGCCCCCACCCTCACAGCTGCTGCTTGCATGCCACGGCCCTGCCTCCCCTCTAGAAAAGCCAACGATCAAAGTGGCATCTGGCCAATGATCAACGTGTCCAGTAGGCAGTCCCCTTTCCCTAAGCACCGCAGCCTGCGTACCGTGCGCCCAGCCGACGCCCCCTGGATGGCGGCCCCTGGGGGAGGGGTGTGGCATCTGGGCTCGCCGTCGCAGGCCCTTGCGCCCGCCGCGTCGCCCCGCCGCTTGCCGCCGACGCGCTCCCGCCGGTCCTCCTGCGCGCCGCCGCATCCGCCTGGTGGCTCGCCCCCGCCGCCGCCGGTGGCCGTCGAGGCCGCCGCCCCGCTCGCCGCGGCCGCGCCGCGCCCGCCAGCGGCCCGAGGCTCGGCCGCGGCCTCGCTGCTGCCAGCACTGGTGGGCTTCTGCGGCCGCAGTACAGCCGGGTGGGGCATGTTTGTCGTGAGAGCCGGTGCGCTAGTGGAAGCGCCCATCCACATGAAGGTTTGCTTGTATGTGTCCAGCCAAATGCTACCCAAAAAGTGCAACGAAACCACCGCTGTCATAGGCATCGACGGGGCGGCAAGAGCATGATGCGTCGCGACCGGCCGCGGCCCTGCCAGCGCGAGCCCTACTGATAAGCAGCGACAAGCAGCGCTAGCTCACGTCGTCCCCCGCGCCGGCGCGCATGAAGCCGCCGGGGGCGTCGGTGGGGCGGATCTCCACGTAGCCGCCGTGGCTGTCCATCCGATCGATCAGGAAGTCGACCAGTTGATCCTTCTCTTGAGGGATCATCCCCCCGGCCTCATCCACCCCGCCGAGCCGGCGGGCGCTTTGCTGCAGGTCTGCTGTGTTGGCGGTGCGAAGGAGGCGACGGAGCGCGTCCCTGGGCAGCTGGGCGGTGCGGCCGATTCCCGGGAGGTCGAGGGTGAGGCCACTGCTGACGCTGGGCGGCACCTGCAACAACATTAGTGCAGCGGGTGGATGCGGGGCAGTCGGTGCGGAAAGCTGCCTACGCACCAGGGCGGAGGCGTGGGGGTCTATCCGGCGGGGATGGTGTGTTTGGTGGTGGTGAGGGG